CACAGTGTAATCAAATTTTTTAAAGTTTTAAAATATTAAATATTTTTATCTTTTGATGTACTATTAGTACACTGTATACAATGCACAGCAAATGGTAAAGCTTGTTTCAACAGACTGTGCCCACTTCAATTTAGATAAATTGATATGGTAAGGATAAACTGCTTTGGCTTGAAAGTTCGTTCGGATTTTATTTTTTTTTAATTTCTTTTATTTACTTGTTTTTTGAGACAAAATCTTGCTATCTAGTTCATACTGGACTTTAACGCACTATGTAACCCAGGTTGGCCTCAAACTGGACAACTTCCTGCCTCAGCCTCCGGAGTGCTGGGGTTAGAGGCCTGTGCCAGCACACCGAGCTTGCTCCAACTTTTAATGTTCTTAACTGAAGTAAATCATTGTTCATCTCCTCTGGGTCAATTTTAGCTAAGTGCCACAACCCCTAATGATGCCCTGAGAGAGATATTATAATTACTTTTAATCATATTGTTTTGTCACAGTTGTACTTAGTAATTTCAATTAGTCCACAGGCATAAACCTGAAAATTATAACTATACAGATTTTTAAAATCTTTTTCTATTTATCAATTAGAAGCAGATTGTGAGGGGACCAAGCACAAGCCAACATGAAGAGGAAAAATCACTGTATTTTAAAGTTATTTAATTATTCAAATAAACAATTTACAGGGCCTCACTATGTACTGCAGGCTGGCCTAGAACTCACAGTGATCTTCCTGCCTCAGCATCCTGGCAAATGAGCATTAATCCAGTCTCAAGCAGTGACACCTTCTTTCAATGGTAATGCAGATGTCAAGTTTTAGCCTATTACTGCTAAGGAGGATCATGCGCTTTAAAAAAAAAAATCAATCTATTTATTTTTAAGGTACTGGAGACTGAACACAGGGCCCAGCACTAAGTTACATCCCCAGCCCTTTCTAAAATTTTACTTTAAGACAGGATCTTGTTTGGTCACTACACTGCCCAGGGTGGGCTGGAACTTTTTATCCTCCTGCCTCAGCTTCACAGCCTGTTGGGATTACAGGCGGCTTAAAAAAAAAAAAAAAAATTCAATACAAATATTTTCTTTATGTAGTAAGAACTGTTACATCATAATTCAAAGGCAAGAAAAGCTCAACTGTAACAAAACTTGTTTTCTCTGAAACAGTTTTTACAACTTTGGATCCAGGGATGGCTGTTACTTATAAAACAGTTTCTCAATACAAAAACTATTAGGCCAAACAAGAAACATTTCCACTACTAAAATCATTACAATTAAAACTGAGCAAAAAACCCAACTGAAATCACAAAACCTGATAGTCTCAGGCCCTGGGATTCAATGAAAGGAAGTAGTCTCTGACAGCAATGGCAGCAAAATCAAGGTGATCTTGGGCAGTGGAGAGAGGCAGAGCTGAAGAGAAGAGGCCAGGTGGTGTGTGGCGTCATGCAGTCATGAGGCCAGCAGCCACATTCTGCACAAAAATCTGAGGCAGCAGAGCTCGGTGGTGCATACTACCCTGCTTCTCTCTTCTTGCTCCCTTACGTGGATTCATAAACCTCTTTAAGACGTCATCCACCTCCTGGAGAACTAACTGGGCCTTCAGGAGATGAGAAGGGTGTGACTGAGAGATCCTGGCTTCAAGCAAATACCCCTATTAACAGAAAATAGGTGGGGTGGGGGAGGAGAAAAACACGGAAATAAAGGAAGAAAATTATTTATAAACACAAAGCTGCGGGGAAGTGGGGGAAGGGAAGGAGGAATGACAACTTAGGTCCAGGAAAAGTAAAACTGCTGGCATCCAGGACTTGACTAACAAGGAGAGAAAGTTCCGTGCATTAATAAACGTCCTCTTTCTACACTTCGAATCCGAAACAGGGTCAAGTACAGCAGCCTAATGACAAAACTAAATCGAAAAGTAAAAATTTCATGTGTAACTAACTACTCAAATTAAATCTGTAAAAAAAATAAAAATAAAAAAATAAAAAAACAATACCTTCCAATGTAAGTCACAAATATTTTAGACATCTGCTAAAGTAAAAATTTTATGTGTAACTAACTACTCAAATCTGAAAAAAAAAAAAACAATACCTTCCAATGTAAGTCTCAAATATTTTAGACATCTGCTCATTCACTTAAAACATTTTTTTTTTTTTTGAGCCTTGATCAAATGCCAAGGAAGTCAGACACAGTCCCTACTTTAATGATTTACAGTCCAGTACGGAAGGAATACCGTCTAACGGGGGGAAAAAGCCCCAGTTGGGAGACATGGAATTTCAGAAGTGAGCAAAATATCCTGTAATAAGTTTCAGATTAAATTGGGTTATAAACCTTTAAGGCTGAGAAACAAGCAATCTGGGTATAGGTATGAAAAAATACTGATAATATTAGTAAACACACAAGGAAGGGCTCTATTTGCGTTATATCATTTAATCTCACAACTCTCTGAGAGCGGTGCATTTCTCCCCATGTCACCCAACAGAAAAGTTGAGAGGTAAAGACCCTTGCCGCGGCGACACAACTTCAAAGGGGCAGACCTGGAATTTGAATCCAGGTATCCCGGCTCTTAACTTTGTTGTGTCGCATATACTAGTCCTCTTATGCCTAACAGCACAACGCTCTGTATATTATGATCTTATTGTGATCTACGATCCTGTTATTTTCGTTCACTTCCTTTCGAAGTTTAAATCTCATTGTACAAGAGAAAAAAAATGAGGACTCAGAGAAGGCTTCCTAGATTACACAGGACGAGGGACTCGGAAGCCAAACGGCTCCAACCCCACAGCTTCTCCCTCCGAGTCCCTCCCGCCCGGAACCCGGGGCCAAGCC